GGGGGGGAGGGGGGGGGGGGTGTCAAGTGGCAAGCCAAGAGCGGTGAGGGAGAGAGGAGCCTGGCCCCCTCTGTCTCAGGCCTCGTCCCAGGGTCGAACCGCCGCTTGTACGAAAGGGGGGAGAGGCAGTGTGTGCGCGCCGCCGCAGACAATCGCCTCTGCCGGGTCTTTTCACGTGACGTCTGCGAGGTTAGTCGGGCCTGCCCGGACAAGCCCTGGGGTCAAGGTGCGGTACCACCCAAGGTACTTCTGCCGGCGCCTTGTCCACTTACCGTAAGCGGTCGTACATGTCCGACCGAGGTCAGCCGACTCGACGGGTCGCCGTGGTTCGGGCTGTCGTCGTCGCGCAGGTGCGCCGTGTCCTCCGCGTCGCCTCTCTGCAGGTGGTTCGTTGGCGGGGCCAGCGACGTCCCCGAGGCAGGGTGCAGAGGCAGGGCATTGGGGTCTTCTGTCTAGAGGGCGCCGCTCGTTCCTTCACTCCGAGGGGGCGAGGCCAGACGAGGCGGTCTCGGGGCTCCTTCGCCTCGGCCATAATTCGGCCGGACGGTGATTAGACAATTAATTACTCTGTCGTCCCGAGGGACGTCCTTCGACGACCCAAATTGGATAGCAATTATTTGGAACGTCTCGGAGCGCCGAAGGGGACAGGCTCTATGGCGGAGGATGTACGTAGCCAGTAGATTTTGGGTACTGCGAGCCATATTGCGGAGTACACCTGTGCGTGACGGTGTGGAGGTGAGTATGGGGACTCGCACATGTGCGGAGACTACTGTCGGCCTCACTTTGCGTCGCACACTCCAAAGGAGGCGGGGCAGGAGTTGCTTCGGACTCCTGCCCGGCACTCTGCCCCAGGGACCCGAGGCCCCTTCCGCGGGCTCGTAAGCCTGGACGGGCCAATCGTCCTCCTCGGCCACAGCAGCAAGAGTGTCCGCTCTCCGCTTCCTGTCGCCCGAGTGGAGACGAGCGCAGTGCATGCTACCTGCTGGTTTAGAGCCGCGTACGCGTGCTTTGACCCCCGGCAGGATTCGCATACTGCTTTTATCTCTGCAGGTCATAACTCATTATGAACCCAGAGCCACATGAGGGACAATCACGGACGCAGTTGTTGCTCATTATGATTCTCAATTGCTGTGCTTCAGTAACTGTGCTGGTTTGCTGAAAAAAAGAGGGAGCAGATTGCCGGGCCTCCTTCCTATTTATACCGGAAGGAGGCACGAGGGTGGGGCCCACCTTGCGGGTGGGCGTGGACTACAAGTGTTTCAGTGCTGCGCAGGGGGATTACCCAATAGCGATAGCCTTAGAGGGCGAAGCCATATATGAAATAGAACGGCCGCATCAGAGCCAAAGTTTTATCAGCAATTTGATAAAACAAAGGCCGATACCGATAATCGGTCAAATGCGGAATATCGGCCCCGATAATCGGCCAGGCCGATAATCGGTCGACCCCTAATCTACATCCTGTTTTAATTGTTGTAAAAGCATTACATTAAAGTGCTTTTAGGTAGAGGGAGTAATGTGATTAGACGTTGTACTTCCCCAATCACAGACAAGAGTAGTTTAATATATTTCTCTTACTTTATAGTTGTTGACAGCCTTTATAGCAGCCAACTGAGTGCAGAACTCCACCTGGTGTGTCTCCTTCTCCCCTTCCAAAGAGTTGAATCTTACTTAAATGTCCCTCCTGAGGTAGGAGAGTTATTAAAAACAAGAACTTATTCATTTTTTTATCATGCCTAGTGATGGAAATCATTTGCAGATGCTTCGAAATAAACCAAACCTTTTCTACATATCAGTTTTTGTGCCACAACAAAGACCAAAAAGTGGCCTGCAACAGCCGAGGTGAAGCTTGTCCTTCGCCTCGCCAATTGCCAGAAATGTATTTTGCTACTGAAGCAGTTCTTGTTCACTTGCGCCCCCTAACAACGAGTTAAGAGGAGTGAGGGGTTGGCAGTGAATGATGGTTTAAAACACTCAATGAAAGTGTTTTTATAAAAATCACCCCATTTTGTATGGAAGGCCAAAAGCCTTCTTTCAACAAATAATTTGACTGTATTCTCTCTCTGTTTCCCTTCATATCCTCTCCTCCCTCCTGTTTCAGCCGATGTGTCGATGCAGTACCAAGGTAAGAATAAGCAAGACATCCGATGTCACACCTTTCCTGACACTAATGTTCAGTAAGACATGTCTGCATTCGGGACCTCGGTATGAAAACCAGTGACTGGCTGTGTGTCGGTGACAGAGAGTACAGAAGCTAGATCAGTGCCTGGGGATTTTTAAACAAGGTCACTTTCACAGCTCTCCATTCCCCTAATCCCCTCTTATTTGTCTAACGTCCCACCCTTCTGCATCCACGTCTTTCTTATCCAAGTTGACTCATGTGTCTTATTACGTGCCTTAATTTGTTAGGATTATACTTTTTGCTATTAACTGTCATTACATTAAAGCTATGGAAGACTGGCTTGTCATACCTTTTTTTACAAACACATATTTAAAATGTCCTTCAGACTAAATAATAGGCTTCAGATTTCTCAGTGAAATGGCACAATAGCAATATTTATGTACAGATATGTGCATATTAAAACAGAATCTGTATGTTTTGTTGCAGTAAGCTACCTTTGAATAGATAACACTTTTTTGAACCAACTTATAAGGTAAGGCAAGTTTATTTATATAGCACTTTTCAACACAAGGCAATTCAAAGTGCTTGCAAAAATGAAAGACATTAAGAGCATAAAACACATTAGAAACATTAAAAAGCAAAGATAATAAAACATGAATAACACAGGTACATGAATCAAAGTTACAGTGCAGTGTAGGATTTGAATAGTTCAATTAAAAGTAGCAGCAAAAAAAGTTTTAAAGATTTAAAAGTAGTAAGAGTTGCAGCGGACCTGCAGGTTTCTGGTAGTTTGTTCGAGATATTTGACAATTTCCCTAACCAAATTCTCACATTCCTCTACCCCTAGTCTTCCCGTGAAATTATAGTTCCTTTGACAGTTCTCTAACCTTTTTATATTCCTTGTAGGTGTATCAGGCCCCTTTTAACCCATTTTTAGGGATTCTGACTTTTTTTTCTGATGATATTTTGTATTACAGAAGATAAACGACTACAGCCATTCTAGTATTTGGTATCGACAGCGTTCTGGTTTTGATATGTACTCTGTTTTTTGTCCAAGTAGTATTGACCGATCAAATCTGAGTGGCCTTTGGTTGTATAAAGCTGAACAAAGTTGGAACGCATTGGCTTGAATCCAGACAACTATTGGTTATTGTCTAACAGACAATAGAGAAAGAGAAGGTCTTGGCCTGTTAGCTACACCAGAAACCAAGAAATATTGACCGCTGCCCCCAGGGACAGGTCGTCATCGTTCTGACCAAACCAACCTCAACATCCTCATCTCGCTATAAGAAAGTGTTGTTTTTAAACAATGATAGTGAATGGTCAATTGATAGACATTGTGTCCTTATCTTTCCTTACCAGTACAACTGGTGAACGGACTGAACAGATGTGAGGGTAGAGTGGAGGTATTCTATAACAACTCATGGGGCACAGTGTGTGACGATGAATGGGACATGGTGGATGCCAACGTGGTGTGTCGGCAGCTAAACTGTGGAGTGGCTGTGGCGGTGGGCAGCAGCTCTAAGTTTGGACAAGGCACAGGGCCCATCCTGCTCGATAATGTAGATTGCAGAGGAAATGAAAGAAGCCTCAGCGAGTGCCCCGCTCCGGCCTGGGGCGTCCACAACTGTTACCACTATGAAGACGTGGGTGTTACCTGCAGAGGTAAAGCTTTTTTGGGAATCATCTCTATATGCATAACCCTGATAAGAATAGAGGATAAACTGATAATATTCCTTCTTCCTTTTCATTTTGCTACTAGAACCGTCAGTGGTGGCGGCAAAGGGTTTTCGCACAACACCGCCCCGGGAGAACCACGGTTTACGTAAGTACCCCCTGCTTTTATCTTAATGAGACTGTTCTTCTGCCAACTTTTCTTTTTTTAAGAAATCAAGACAAACGGATAAAACCCAAACCCAAATATGAGGAATGTAAGATATTTGACAAGGGCCTATTTGAGAAATGAATACTTGTAACAACAAGATGTGTAAAAGGACAACCCTAGGCAGTGAAACAACAGTAAAACTAGCAAATTACTATAAACAGAAGTCATAGTGGACTTTGACTGCTGATATCCTATCCCTTTAACAATTTAAACCCGCAATATAATGTTGTTGTTTTTTACATAGATTGTATAATATATATATATATCATATATGTATGTTGCTGCTTTGGTTTTACTGCCTGCAACTTAACTGTTTTGGATCACTCTGATATCGTAATTTTTTTTGGATGCAGTTGGCAACAATTTTCAGTGAAAAAGCTCTTTAAACCTGCTCAGCCTCAAATGAAAAAAAGGTAGCACTCAGCGGGAAACCAGTTTGGAGGGAACATTGGATTTAATTCTTTAGGTTGCCAGTAATAAACTTCCACATTAATGTTAATGTTTTCTCCATATCTGCTGTCGTACAAAAAATGAGTTAATGGATGATCCAAGCATTTGACTGAATAACACAAACCCCACCTGCATTTGGCATATTCATCTTCAGTAGCCACAAATGAGTTGCCCCCCTCCTCCAAATATGGACAGTGGCCATGCCATCTGGAGCAACTCAGGGTTAAGTATCTTGCCCAAAGAAACATCCACATGTTGACTGCAGGGCCTGGGATCGAAACCCACAACCATAGAAGACTTATTTTTCCCGTCTATGTTCAAAAGCAGAAACACTACCGCTCAAAGGCCTCTTAAATCCCATGCCGTCCTTTTTGTTTGCTGGATTTGTCTTTGTTGTGCATGTTTTTAACTTTAATTCCCAAGAGGATATTGAGAGACTTGAACCGAATTGTGTTAACACGTGACGTATCTGAAACCCACAGGGAGTGATGTGAGGTCATCCCTACTCATAGCTTTCTTTCAGGGAAGCACATTTTAAGAAATGATAGACACACAAGAATGTCCATTGTCTCTGCTTAGGTGCGTTTTTGTCTGGGCCGAGGCATTAAATGACAACATCTGTGTGCTGGATAGTCCCATTCACCTTAACTCTCTTACTTCACAAGCCACAATATGTTTTGTATAGGCCGACACCCTTATCCTTTCCCTGTATCAATGTCTGTTGGTCGTCTCCTCTGTCCTCTACACAACATGCTCAAATCCCTGCATCTATTTTATTTGACAATAATATAGATTCTAATAAAATACAACAGAGACTAAAAATCTGTTGTAGAGAAGATGTATCCTTATCAATCGCCCCCTCCCCATCTTGGTTTAGGTGATGGCACCATCCGTCTGTTGGATGGATACAACTCCTGCCAGGGCCGGGTGGAGGTTTTCTACCAGGGAGACTGGGGGACAGTGTGTGATGACGAATGGAGCTTAGAGAATGCCGTGGTGGTGTGCCACCAGTTAGGCTGTGGCAATGCCGTCCACTCACACACTAACTCTTACTTTGGCTACGGAACGGGTCGGATTCTCCTGGACAACGTCAACTGCTACGGCTCTGAACCGGACCTGACTAGATGCAAAAGCCTGCCCTGGGGCAAACACAACTGCGGTCATCATGAGGACGCTGGAGTCACCTGCACTGGTACACTTCTCTCTATCATGGAACATGCATTTAAAGAAACATGTTAGCAACACAATGACCATTGGTATCAATAACTCACTCTGTGTTACCTTGTATTCTTGAAGAAAACTTTATAAATGATTAATGAATTAAAGTAAATAGAGGCAGCAGTAACAGCAACACTATATCAAAACACCTGTTTTTAAACATTTACAGTACAATGCAAGTCTCATTTATCCATTCATCCATCACTCAGTTTTTTTATTCTGAAGAAATCAGGTTATGATATACACATTCTCATTTTATGGGACAAATATTCCTTTTAACACAAGTTGGACGGATGCAAATTATTTTTAAAAACATATCCAAACAATGCTCATGTTACATAAGAATGCAGGACTTTTTGCTCTTGTACAAATCACATCAAATCCGATTTCAAGCATTTGTATTAGCAGAATTAGAAGTAGTAAATAGTAGTTTAATATGGAAGTTGTACAATAATTTTTCATTTTACTTTTCTATTAACTCCAGGTACCAGCACTGTACCTCCTTTGGTAACAGAAAACCAGAGAGGGCTCTGGGTAACATACACCAGTGAAGGTAAACACACTTAGTACACAGTACTGTTTATATGTACGTAAACAAGCACACACTGCTTTTGTGGAAATAAAATATAAAATAGTTTATTTATTTATTTCTGTATGCATTTATAATATAAATGAACAATTTTCATTGATTTATTATATATTTTTTATTATTTATTTATCTTGTTCTTTTTAGTGATTTTGCTAAAACTATTTCTATTTTTACACATTCCTTTATCTATTTTATTTATTACTCTATGTTTCCAGATGTATTTATTTTGCATAATTTTTTTTCTTTCTTGTACAGATTACTTTTTAAGGAGCACTCCTGTGACTCCATAGCTAATTATGTATTTTGAGGATTTCTCCTCCACACAGTAAAAATGAAATATGCTCTTCTGACAAATGACCAACAGGGGGAGTCATTTCTTCCACCTGGTCTTTCCACCTCAGTACCAAAAATCAGGGTGGTGAACTAACATTACCATGATCGCAACAAACTTAACATTTATTACATTTTTCCTCCAGCAACAGAAAGCATTCCAGTCACCAACGCTCCAACTACAAAAACTGTCACCACAACTGCCCTGACAAAAGGTAACAATATTAAACTTTAAACACAAATACAGTGTGTTTTAACATTGGACTGAGCAGATCACCTTGTTTTGCAATTATCAGAAAATAAACTGCAAGGATGTACCTGTCTATTTATCACTATGCAGGCAAACCAACCATTCGTCTGGTCAATGGTAACCATAGCTGTGAGGGTCGTGTAGAGGTTCAATACAAAAATATTTGGGGGACGGTGTGTGATGATGACTGGGACATGTTCAACGCTAACGTGGCGTGCAGGCAGGTAGGCTGTGGCCCAGCTATGGGGGCCATGACACAGTCTCACTTTGGCTTCGGTTCTGGTCTCATCCTGCTGGACAATGTGGAATGTAGTGGCTCGGAACGGGAGCTGTCCCAGTGCTTCCACCTGGGCTGGGGTCAGCATAACTGTCGCCATCATGAGGATGCTGGAGTTATCTGTGCACGTAAGAACATGACATGACCTCTCTTACACCATATAGGGCTAAAGCAGGCTCAATTTAGGCACACTGAACAGCTCATACTTCCTTTGTATTGGGTCATGTGTGCTCGCCCTGCTGAGCTGTCCAATTGCAATTCATGACTGTAGTACTCTGAGGAGGAAACAGCCCAGAGAGCATAAAAAATACAGAGGATGAGTACATCAACGTCACCGCCTGCATTCAGGCCAAATTTTACTTATTTCTAGGCTGAATGAAAGCACAGAAAGAGGCACTTTTACTTAGAGAGCACATACCTGGTTTTCGGTTGTTTAGAACATTTGATTATATATGTTTAAAGCGAGCAGTTTTTAATCTGTCTCAAAGTTGCTGCAAAGTGCATGTCTGTTGCCTTAAGGAACATTTATATTACATTAGTGACCTGATATTTCCCAGAGTATGCCTAAGCCAACACCTAGTGTCCTCACTCTGCTTTCCTCTGCCTCCATTAGCTTCTGATTTTTACTTTGGAAATGGACGTGACTTTAGAGCAACAGAGAAGATACCTGCCACCACATCAGAACCATCTGAAGGTAGGTTAAATATTCTGCCACCACAAAATCAGCCCGTTTCTCTAATGGGTTTATAATACAGATAATAATGAATTATTGTGATTCTAATTTTTTGCAGGAATGCTGAGACTGGTGGGAGGCCAGCACCGGTGTGAGGGTCGCGTAGAGATTTACTCAAACTCTGAATGGGGTACAGTGTGCGATGATGCTTGGGACATCCCTGACGCTCAGGTTGTATGTCGCCATGTGGGCTGTGGGGAGGCCACAGCTGCTCGGGGAGAAGCTTTCTTCGGGCCCGGCACAGGAAAAATTCTGCTGGACAATCTCAAGTGCAGCGGTGAGGAGGAAACCCTGCAGGAGTGCTCCCATATATCCTGGAACGTGCACAACTGTGACCACTCCGAAGATGCTGGCGTCACCTGCTCACTGTCGTGATTTGAGCAGAACCACACTTCCATCTCCACCATGGGTAGGAAGTGGGCGTACTGAACCTGGGACTTGTATACATTATGTAAATAACAGCTTTCACAATGCTGAAGGAGTACTCCACCACCAACCACATACAAAAAAACTAATATGACAATATATGATGACATGCTATAAACTATATATGCCTATTAAGCACTTTATAAATAAATATATGATATAAAAAACAATGTACACAGTTTTTTTTTAAGAAACCTAAAATGTAATTTACATGTGATTATTTGTTAAGTTAGGTAAGGAATACTGGAGGAAGTGCAGTTTGGATGATGAGACACATGAGCTTCAGCTCCAATCTTTTTGCCTGCTGCATCTATTTATGATAACAGAAACCTAAATGGAACAAATGATATTCGACATACCACAACATTGCAAGATAACAGACACAAACATAAATAAATGTGTTATATCTTGTGAATATGCATCACATTTCTCTATCAAATAAACAATGTGAAACTTGTGTTGTGTTAACCCAAATATGAATAAATGTAACTACATGTGGTAAAATACATGTTCTTATTTTTTGGTATTTAATATATTTTTGAACTAAAAACAGAGGTCTTTGAACCGTTATCTGCATTTGTCATTGCCTCAACATTTACTTCCATTGTGTATTCTTCTTTAACTGCGCGCACAAATATGACAATACCACCATTTAAATGTTTTCAAGGGAAAGGATTTTTGGGGATGCTAAATGCAATGCAATGAGCTCAAACGAAATAAGAAATGTTTTATATAAATAACTAAAGCTAGTTGAATCACCCAATTCGGACAAAATAATACTAACAGTGCGTAGCTAACCTAGCTAACTCTGTGGCCACATGTAATAACAGTGCGTAGCTAACCCATCTAACTCTGGCCACATGTAATAATAACAGTGTAATAGTGAAAACAGTACAGAATTAAGTCAGCAAATTGACTCCGAAGTGCGACAACGGTATTGCTGAAAAGTTAGCTTACACTGGCCACAGAGAAGTAATGGTTAGACTGACCATGTATGCTAAAGTTAATTAAATAAACATTTTATTAATAATAATTCCTAAGGGGAAAGCTGTAATTTCTCACTTTAATCTTTAAATGCTCTCTATAATAAAACAAATCTAACAGTAAAATGTGTGAATACCTCCCTTTAATGCCATAACATTGTTAAAAATGTGGCTATATTTTTTATTTATGAGTATTCACAATCAGAATGATCTGAGAGCATATTAGATGTACAATTCCTTTTTAATATAGATTCAGTTTATGCTACTGTAGGAATTGAACAACTCTAAAATGTTACCACATTTTAGTTTTGACTATCATAGCTTCAGTTCGAGACATTCTTAAGAACATACAAATATATATATATAAATTACCTGTAGTTAGACATTTTTATACACTTTGATTATACAAAAGTAACTTTTGTCTTATTAGTGAATTGAAGAAAAGTTAAATTAATTCTTAATCAAAATATCGTTAGATACAATATTTTAAGATGTCATTTTGCCTCAGCAATAAATATATACTGTATGTGTACACCTAAAAGGAATTGGGTAAACAGAGAAGGAGCTAAAAGGATTTTTCATCGACAGTTTGTTCTGATAACTCAAGAAAAAATGACTCTTTTGATGACATTTTATGAGCCTGCTTCATAACTATAATCACTACACTCACCCAAAATGGCATATCCATGGTTACAAGGTGGTTTTAGAAATAATTTAAACTGCATGAGAAAAAACGAAATAAAAGTTAAATTGATCTGTGAAATAAAAAACGAATAACCAATCATTGTAGAAGTTCTTCTTTAATTGATCATTTGCCTGCCCTTTGTTTTTCCTCTGCCAAGCAACAATGTTACAGTGATGTCAAACATAAGATATGAAATGCTCTGTGGTCACAGGTGTGTCTCTTCATTATCAGCTACACAGGTGACTCAGTGAATAAGACACAAGGACAATATGTTTCCTTGACTCTAATAATGAATAGAGAAATAATACATAAAACATGTTTTATTTGAATCTCTGTTCATCAATGTTTTCTTTAAGACAGGTACACAGTCTATCTTGAAGTTACTCTAAAATAAATTAAATGTGTACCATTGTCCATTAGTCATATATCTACTGTTTATGATATCTTACCTGTTTTAAATCAAGACTGATTTAATTAAGCCGTTAAGTAGTCAGGATGAGATTAGTTCAGTTTTTTATGGTATTTGTTTAGTTTTAAGTGTTGTTGGAGTATACATTTAAATGTTTCTGTATTAAACAAACTCTCTCCGATTAGTAATAGTTTATTGTAAATACTTTGTGTTAAGTGTCAGGCTCCTTTGGATAGTTTATTGGGGTATCCCATTGCACAAACCTCTATTATGTTTTATGTTTGTACTTGTATTTGAAATCAAGTTTGTTTACAAATGAATTGTTTCATGTCAGTTGGTATTGTACTTGACTAGATGAGCATATTCTTCAAGTCAAAGCTTGGAATTATGAGCCGGCTCTGGGGCTCTGGGGCCCAGTGTGTTTAGCATTTGCCCTGATAGTAGTCAAGTCACTGCAGGCCTACTTGGAAAGTTTGATAACGCCATGCACTACAGTACAAGTCAACCCTATAACAAACCTCCTTTTACTTGCATATGTGTGCAGTGTAAACCCTACATTGCCTGGCTTTAGGGCAATAGGCTGTGCTATCATTTTCCCTGGACTGCCAGGCTCGTTACATCACTCCGTTAAGACACGCCTTTTTGGGTGGTGACAAAACCGAGGGAAAGTGCTCGGAGGGGGAGGGGTGTCCCGTCGGCAGGCACACAGACAGCAGGCAGCAGCTGCAGCGAGAAGGACCCGGTACCCGTTTCTCTGCATTCAAACATTCATATTAACGATCTTTACTTCCGAAACACATAGGACAGCAAACACACACCATATCTAAAATGGTAGACCGCGAGCAACTGGTGCAGAAAGCCAGGCTGGCCGAGCAGGCGGAGAGGTATGATGATATGGCAGCTGCCATGAAATCGGTAAGTGGGGTTCCTATGTAATGACATTTTCTTAAAAAATATGTTTATTATTAGCTTCATCAATATGTGTGTGCATTTGTGAGAGTTGTGTAAAAGCTTGCTAACCTAGCATTAGGGCAGCAGACAAGGGGCTATGCCTCTGTGTTCGAGCACATTTTGACCCTAAAGCGAATAAGACACGCAATATGGTGTATGAAAGTTATGATTAAAGATTACGTTTATGGCTTGGACATAATTGTGGGCAGGAAAAAATTGTGCCAAAATACGATTTGGGCAACATATATTTAAACAGGGCTGTAAGGCCCGTAAAGCCTGTGCTCATATTATCAGCCTTTTCCGCACATTTCTGGTATTAGAGAGACCATGTTGATATGATGAAATTGTAATAACTTTTGTAAATCAAAGGCTTTTATCGGCGGTGTAATGCGGTAGATTGTGGATGAAGAGCGGTCTGTTTGATCTTGGGGCGGTGCCTTTGACCACGCTCCTTTAAAAAGCGGCCAGACAGCTCGGTTGTAAAAGAACCGGGGGGGGGGGAAATATCACACAAATATCGATAATACGTGATTTGATCGTATTTTGGGGCCAAATATGGGCTTTTACGATAAATAATATCAAACTTAGCTCGTCGGAAGGTGCGCATAGTGGCGGAACAGAGGACGAGCTAGGTGGTACGGTGGTACCATGAGGATGAGAATGACATCGTAGGCTGATGGTTGCGTTCCGGTTTGCACGAGGAATAACGGGCCATTGGTTTAATATGAAATACCACTTTTACTTAGCTTGATATGGACTACTATCATACAGTGTCCTTCTTTTGACACTCATTTGGTGCATTGAAAGCAATGTTGGCTGAAGGTTGATGGCAATCGATTTGCGCAGAAGCAGCGCACAAAATACGAAGCGTCCACCTTTCAGACGTGGGTGTTGGTGGACGGACGGACATCATTCCAGAAAGCTATCTAGGTGTCATATTGCAGCAAATGGTCGTTTTTATGTGAGCACACTTTAGCATGATGGGCTGCTTGGCATTAGTCAATGCTGTGTAGCAACCTGCATCCCTGCGTCCTCGACCTCTTGCAGCAGGTTCCCACACAGAGGCGTGCCGCAGCATCTGCCAAGATGCAGCACAGGCCCGCCCGTAGTGCACCATTTCACAGGCAGCGTTTATCACAAAGGCTGCATCTCTCTATATCTGTGTGTGTGTGTGTGTGTGTGTGTGTGTGTGTGTGTGTGTGTGCGCGCGCGCGCGCGTGTGCGTGTGTGTGTGCGTGTGTGTGTGTGTANTAAATTAGTAAAACAATTAAAAGTCAGTAAATTGACTCAGTGATAACTTTGTGAACTTTGCTAACATTTGCAGCTAAACTACTGGGGCCGTATTCACAAAGGATTTTGTGAATACGGCCCCAGTAGTTTAGCTGCAAATGTTAGCAAAGTTCACAAAGTTATCACTGAGTCAATTTACTGACTTTTAATTGTTTTACTAATTTAAAATATTTGGAAATAGAAATACTGTTATTTACTCTTGAGTTAGATGAGGAAAAAACATTATAATGATAATGCTCCGTTTGCTAAGCTAAAATTTGCCACCATTAGCTACTGGTTGTACAAAAACAAATAGATGTTGTAACAAAACCCCTTCTAGTATTGAATGGAGAAATGTTCATATAGCTTATAAATTAAACGTTTTTTTCTTATTATTTCTTTATTCATAATCTCACTTTAGGTAACTAGTATAATTAGTTGTTTCACCTTGCAGGAAATCATTCAGACAGGATCATAGTCCAGATCTCTGACGAGGAACACGACCCCCAAGGCTGGTCAGCCAAAATCTACCCAGGCGACATTCATTCGAAGTCAGTCACCATCCACATCTGCTCCCCTGTTAATTCCCCAGTGGCTCAGTATTACCTCTTCCTCCACATTGAGACGATACATAGGAACAGAAGTACCTTTGAAGTGGGAACATTTGTGCTACTCTGCAACCCTTGGCTGAAAGGTGGGACCATTTAGTAATATTCCTTCCTTTTATTGTCTAAATGTGTTGCTGTTACCTTGTTTTAGAGGTGAACCCGTTCCACTGCTATTGCCTTTCAGAGGATCCAGTGTACATGCCACTGAACGCCCAAAGAGAAGAGTATATCAAGAGTGATTGCGGCATTTTGTTCACGGGCACCCCTCAAAACATTAATGAAAGACCCTGGATGTTTGGTCAGGTAGGTGATGCTCAGCTTTCATGAACGGGTCACAGCATTATGTGATGGTAAGAATACAGTACAGGAATTGTATGTTTCCTTGTGTGAACATAAAGTATGAGCCTGGAGTCCTGGAGGCGTGTATGAAGCTGCTGCAGGTCAGCCGGTGGCACTTCAAGAACAAAGAAAAAGACTACAATCGACGAGCAGACCCCGTCTACCTCAGCCGGGTGATTTGTGCTATGGTGAGCAGCAACATTCACATTTACTCTTTGTGATGGATATGTAAAACATGCACATGTACTCCCTCTAATGTGGAATGTTTTTAATTATATTATCAATAATATACAGAAGCCTCGTGAGGCAAATAAGTCTGATCGAAATTGTTTTTCTATATCTTGTTTATAACTTAAGAACAGGTTAAAGATTGTGCCAGTTCATTTTTAGGCACTTTTAAATAAGTCTTTAGGATAACATTTTTGGTGTAATTATTTCGGCCAACAAGGCAAAAGTGCTACTAAATAGGAAGTGAAAATATTAATATTTTCAGGACAATTCCTCCATGCACTCTAAACACAGGTACATATTGTTTGGTAGAAAGTTATGTGAGATAAATGTCATGGCCAACTTTTAAATTGTGTATTGTTTATTTGCATTGGTCCTATTTTGAACATGGGGTAGTCGTGCACTTCAGCCTTTTCAGGTTGAAATGAGTCTAAAAAATATCTCTTCGAAGAATTGCTCTGGCAAATATATTTTAAGCCTGTTATTAAGACTTAAACACACACATTTAATCTAGAAAATGGTTCACAATTTTTTCTGACACAGTTATACAAAGAATGTAATGTGTGTCTACTGTCTTAAGGTTAACTGCGACGACGACCTGGGTATTTTAATGGGAAATTGGTCAGGCGACTACAAAGATGGTGTCAGTCCCGCAGAGTGGAGCAGCAGCGCTGACATCCTCCACCAATGGGCCTTGTCCAACTGCAAACCCGTACGCTACGGACAGTGCTGGGTCTTTGCATCTGTCCTCTGCACCGGTACGGTATAAATTAGGACACTAGAGTTCTAAAATCGTGGCTGACAATCAAGTGTTATTTAGCCATCAACGACACCAAAGAGTTGCCTTACATCTCTTTAAGTTTGGCCTTTGATTAAGGAAGATATCAAACTTGGCTTACAAGTATTATAAGCTAAATCCACCTGAACCTGTTTTAATCTATTATATTGATACAGTATTTGCATTGGCTTATGTTATTTAGTAGTTTTATCCCATTCCTTTGTTCTTCTAGTAGTTTCTGAAAGGGACAATCCTAGGATCATAAACCTAAATAAAGGGCTTTTCAACCTAAGCAAGCTGTTAGCCTGTTTCTAATAAATCTTTCATAATGGCACAAACCTGTCGACTTTTAGGTAGGGTTTGCTGTCCCTGCTTTCATCATCATCGCTACGTTATTTGAATAAAAAAGGAATGTTTTGTCTTTACAGGCTTAACATATCAAGCCATAATTTGTCATAACAGATCATTTCAAAATGTTGGTCCATCTAGTCTAGTATAGTGTGACTGTGCTTTTTTTGTGTTTTTTTCCAGTGATGAGAGTGCTGGGTGTTCCCTCCAGGGTGGTGACAGTTTTTAACGCTGCCCATGACGCTAACAGCAACCTGATAATTGAGGAATATTTCTCAAGCAGCGGGGAAAAGCTCCCAGGACCAAAGGACAGCACGTGGTGGGTGTCTATTGCTCTCAAACAGTTGATCTTTTAGGATGATTAAACTATGCTTAGTCCAGACCTACTCTGGTACTCTATTACTCTAGTACACTATCTTTAAAAGTAACATTAAACTTGAAGTAATTTCCATCTTAAATGATTAATATATACACAAAACATTTGCACGTGCTTTGTATTGGTCGGGTGTAATATGATAGTTTAAATTATGTGTGTGGAAATCTCAGTTCATTTGTAGGGCTGCACGGTTATGGCCAAAAGTTTGCTGTAAATCTCACGGTACATAAGTAACAATTTGATCATAATCCCATTCTGTGATATTATGACCGATCATAACTCATCTTTATGCACACACATACATTTGGCATGGCTTGAGAAACGGGCTCTGTGTTACAAGACGGACACATTTTAGAGTCAACACATATGGACCCTAAATATAGTCTATGTTAAGAATGAAAAAAGTTTTAATATATAGTTTTTTGTAAACATGACACATTTTGAGTGTGACGACGTCAGACCATCGTCCTAATTCAAACCCTGCCTACATTCAATATTTCAACATATTTCAACATGCATCATTTTCATTACTTCCAAAAAAGCTAGAATATAAAATGAAAGAACAAAGAAAAGGATAGGATAAAATATGGTTATCATCCCCTACACTAGATCGACCAACCACACATGCATGTGCCTACTTGCAAAACAAACAACCACCCATAAAATTAAATAAAAACCCACACAAACACATTGATGTGAAAGACGAGCTAAAGATTATTGCTTTTCCTTTTTTTTCCTTCCCTAACATAATGACATCATTATGTAACACTCACGCTTCTATTGGCTTGCAGCCTGCCACATTTTACGTGATAGGGGCTAAAGGGCGCGACATCACACCTGGCCAGCTAACCAATCAGGGCAGACTGGGCTCTGGTTTCAGACAGAGGGGGGAAAGAGGTGCAGCAGAACAGGCAGTATGGGAAAAATAAAGAGCTTGTTGTACATTAAAGCATGGAGACATGTCACAGTAGAGACACAATATACAAATATGAAACCTGAAAATTAGCATAATAGAGCCTCTTTAATGTTAAGTAATATTACAGTTTTTAAGTGAAGGTGCTTCCTTATTTTCCCAGTTTTGCAGTATCAACTTTTTATATAATAATGACGCAAAAAAGTGAGTTGGCTATCTTATTTTCCCAGCATATTTGATTTTGCATTTTTGTTAATTTACAGCATCCATTCGTGTTTGTCCTCTTGCAGGAACTTCCATGTGTGGGTGGAGTGCTGGATGAGGAGACCAGACCTCGGCTCAGCGTTTGATGGGTGGCAGGTGGTGGACGCCACCCCCCAGGAGAAGAGTGGAGGTGGGTGATAATTGATCGATTAATATCAAATTTGTTGACATAAGAGCTTCCTTTTTTGATTAAATGTCAAAGAAGGCGAAATACAATTGATAACTAAATCAGAGGTAGTCAAATCCATGTTTAACTGTATTTTGATCTCCTGCGCTCTGTCACAGTATCAAGACAGTGCGGCATCCACGCCAACAAAATTGTTATCCATCGTTCTAAAACAAGAGCTAAGCCTAAGGGCTGCCAACATTCACACATTGAGCGTGAGAGTCACGCAATTAATCCATATCTCACGCACTCACGCCACACTTGCCTTTCCTCACGCTAAGTTTTCGTCCAAAAATAAATGTATATAAATATAAAGTTAAGGAACAGCAAACCGAGTGGTCTACGAAATGAGACGGTATTCTGGCTTAGTTCAGTAAAGTTGGAACGATATTGGAAGATTCTGATTTCACGGATCAATAACTCATGAACAAAACGTTATTCAGACACAAATGACGTCTTCTAAGTACCGTGGTAAGGTTGACAACGAACTAGAATCACATTTTGATTAAAAAAAAGCCAATACGCGCCGTCCTCCGAGCTGGAACGACACATTACATTGGTCTCTATCCGCAGCCGGAGAAGAAACGAGTGCTCAGGGACCGTCTGCAAAGTGGAACTCAGAAAAAAGAGAATACATATTCAATCACTTTTATACAGCTTATTACTACCAAACTCACTACACACANTCCACCCACGTCCAACTCAAGTCCCTACTCGAACTAGCCGTTGACGCCGGCTGGGGGTCCTGCCAACTGCAGCCCTTTCCCGTGGGGCCCGCTGGACTACTCCTTCTGCGGGGGTCCCTGCCCCCCACCTGCTTGCTATGTCTTCCCGTTGGGTCCCGCGACCCAACTCTCGCTGCCGGGGTCCGCCAACCCCATGCCTGTCCGTTTGGGGGTCCCGCCGACGACTCTCCCTGCCGGGGTCCGCCAACCTATGCCGTCGGGGGTCCCGTCGACTACTCCCTTCGACTGCCGTGGGGGTCTGCAAACCCTATCTCCTGTGCCTTGGAGGGTCGCTGGGGTCTGCCAGCTCCATGTCCATCCCGTTTGGAGGCCCGCCGACACTCTCCTTTGCTGGCGGCTGCAATCCTGTCCTGTCTCGTTGGGCCGCTCCCCGCCGACTACTCTCCTGCTGGGCTGCCAACCTATGCCTGCCCGTGGGTCCCGCCGAGGACTCCTGGCCGGGGTCCTGCAAACTCCATGCCTTCCGTTGTGCTAGTTTGCCTGACAACACAAAGAGGGGAGCCAGATGCCGGGGGTCTGCCTTCCCTATGTCTGCCGGTAGCGAGGCCCGCACTACCTTGCGCCGGTGGCGGTCGTGGACTCAAGCGTATCAGTGCTGTGCGCAGAGGTTCCGGCTGGGGGATCACAGCACCATGGCCATATGCATTAGAGGGCGCCGCCGACTATTCCGAACTAGAACCCGGCTGCTACTCCATAATGTCGTACATCTGGTAACGCTTTAAACGACAAAAGCCCTTCCGTTAAGGTCTGCAACACTATCGCCTGTTACGGTGATAGGCAGGGCACCAATATCCGTCCCGTGGCTAGGCACGCGCGCAAGATAATATATGGTAGCTTCGGCTTGATGTGGAAGATGTGATTGATCGTGTCGTTTGTCCCACCTCACAACTCCCTCTGCCAAGTTGGATATTGGTAAAAATACTCACGTTCTCCCTGAATGTTCACGCCGAAGACAGCATCGCAGCCACTGCTCCGTTTTCGGAGACTTTCAACACGTTTCTTACAAAACCATTTCAGCAACGCTAGGAGTCGCTCGGCGACAACTGCGTAGTCCGCGGGCCAGACTCACCCAGGCAGCAGTCCAGGAGGCACCTCTACGCCTCTACACGGGTCACCGTTCGGGCGTTCCCGCGCTGCTCTCTAGCCCGGAGGAGACCGCGTGAGTAACCAGAGTGCAGCTGCGGCCCGACATATCTCTTTCTCCGTCACCACAGCGCGGCGGCGTCTGTTACGGAGACGGCCAGAAAAGTGCTACTGGACGCTCCAATCAGCCCGGACGGGCTGTTCGGACCCCAGTTCCACGCCATGGTGGAGTCCATGAAGACGGCCGCGGAACAGGTGGATGGCATTCGCCAGCATGTACAGCTGGCTCCAGTCGGCTGAGCTGCCACAGCGGCACCAACGCCCGCAGCAGCCGCGGCGTCCACGCCGGCCACAGGAGGCCGCAAGCGGAGAGACGTCCACAGCAACCGACCCCGGCCGGCCGGGCT